AGGGGTGGGGGCACCTAAACCCGCCCCGTCCCGCCGTCTCAGCCCTTTCCTCTGCCCCTGCGCAAGGAAAACGCTTTTGAAAATTCAGTTTACTTGGGCAGAAGTGGAGAAGTTCCTTCACCGAAGCAGTTCTGAGACGGGCTGGGCAGGGCAGTCCTGGAGGTGCCCCCGAGACGTGTGGGCGAGGGGCTACAGGGGTAGGTGCAGGTGTTCCAGGGTGGCCGTGGCCGTGATGAGTTAATGGCTGGACCTGATGATCCTGAAGGTCTTTTCCAAACAAAGCAATCATTCTGTGACTCGGTAGTGAGCCCGCGAGGTGAGGCCATGAGCTGCGCACAAGCGTTGGGGTCTCTACAAGACTCCCCTCCAGGCAGTACAAGCCAAGGACACAGCCAGATCCTGCCCTGGGCACCCTCCAGAGCCCAGCCGGACATCCAGACAGCGTCCCTGTGGCCACCACGGTCACCCCCTCTTCAGAAGGACAGGCAGGAGCCGGGCAAGTGTAACCAGTCAGGTAAGGCTTCCTCTTGGGCGGCCGCTCTCAGTCCCGCTGGCAATATTTAGCAAACACTGGCACCTTCCTTCCCCACCCTGCTGGCTGCACCCGTGGCCATGAACACCCCGAGGGCACAGGGCGCTGCCTGCCCTTGTCCCCTTGCTGCTGCAGTGTCAGGAAGGAGAGCAAGGGGGGCAGTGACACCAGGAGGGGGGCACGAAGCCCCCAGGCAGAGCCACTTCTTGCACCACAGCAGCAGGGGAACATCACTTCCAGGCCTTCCATGCTCCAGCTCGCCTGGGTGCCAGAGGGCAGCCCCCTCCTGCTTTTGGGCTTGTCAACCCAGATTAACGTGCTGTAGAGCCAGTCTGGCAGCAGATCTGTGCTCCTGAGCCTCCTGGGGCTGTGCTGGGCACACGCATCCAGCTTTCCCAAAACGAGGTGAGGGACTCTCAGCATCCCCAAACTGCTGGATGTGCTGATCTGAACTTAGCTCAGCCACCCAGATCCCCTGGCCCTGAGCAGCCAAAGGGCAGGTGGAGGTCACAGCTCCCACTGGGGCTGCTGTGTCTGTGTGCTCTGAACAGGCTGTGGGAAGCTGCTGTGTTGCCCCTGTGGTGGTGGCGAAACAGGTTTGGCTCCATCAATGTGGCTTGAAATGAGCACTGGTTGTTCAGAGGGAGTTTGGGATCGGTGGGCACCAGCACACAAAACCACCCAGAGCACTGCAGCTGCTGACACTGACCCAGAGAGAGAAAAAGTCACCCAAAGCCACTGCCTTGGCAGGCCCTGGGGAAGCCACAGCCATCACTGGGTTTTTGTCTCATCCAAGTCCTCCTCCCCCTGCCCCTGCCAGCATGGGAAGCTGGTCCTTCCACAGGAGATGGAGGACTGTAGAGTCTGTGTCCTCCCATCATCCTTCTCCCAGTTTGGAGATATGAAGGTTCCATGCTGCTGGAGTCTCAGGATCTAATTTTAATTCCAGGGCTGCTTTGGTAAGTGGGGAAAAGGCTTTGTGGACATTTCTGCCTGGTAAAGCCTGCCTGGGGTGACTACATCTTCTCCTACCTAAACGCTGATCCTGTTTCAAGCAGAAAAGTCCAACTTTTCCCTTCCTAAGGTCATGATTTGGCCTGATTCCTTCCCAGCCCAGCACTCACACTTATCCGTGCCCACACAAAGGACTCCAGGGAGGGGGGCTTGCTGCTGGCTGCCCCCCTGCTGTGGAAATGTGGGGATCAGGAGGTGGTGATGCTCCCTGGGGTTTTTCAGGCTGGCAGCCTCCTGTGCAGCTGGGCAGGCACAGGGGGCACAGGGGGTGGGCAGGAGCCTGGGGGCTCCTCCATGCTGCTTGGTGCTTTCGGGTGGTGGGGAAAACCCCAGCCCCTCTCTTCTAGTCTGCAATGTCTGTGTCTCCTCCGTGAGAAAGGTCCGTGCCAAGCGTCTGTTCTCTGCAGAACATCAGTTTTCAGGCTCGAAAAGGCAGTCAGTGTCGTCGGGCAGAGCGTCCGGCCCCTCTCCCAGCCCGTAATACAGGTCGTCCTCCTCCCCGGTGCCTTTGCGGGGGGAACCGGGCTGCTCTCCCCCCGCCGGGGAGCTGGTCGGGCTGCGGCTGGAGCAGGAGGTGGAAGCTGGGGGATGTGGGCACCGTGGCACGGGGCTGCCGGGCGGGGAGCCCTCCAGCGATGGCGTGTCCATGTCCTCCAGGAGGGATGCCAGCGGGGCTGGCCGGGAGGGGCTGCAGGAACAGAGAGGGCTGAGCAGTGTCGGGGCTGCGGGGGCTTTACACTAAACACAGCTGGGCTGGAGATGGTGTTTTCCCTGGAGCTGGTGGCTGCTGGGCCTCGGCATTGCTCTGCCAGCATCCCAGCATCACCAGTCCCCTTGCTGGATGGCTGAGCCCCCCCCCGGGGAGGTCCTATCTCAGCCCCCAGTGTCTGGCTTTATGGGGATGCCCTGCCTGCCAGGTTCCTTCTGCCCATGGGAGGAAGCAGTGGCTGCCCTCACACGATGTGCCCGCATCCCAGGGAGAAAGCAGAGTGCCCTGTCCCAGCTGGAGCTGTGTTTTGGCAGAGGGGACACCCCAAGTCCTGTGCCCTGAGGCTGCACAGTGACCCTGATCACTTGCAAAGTGCTTTTAGGATCTCCTGGACTTATGCATGGACAGCATATGTGGCATCTGGTTTGAGGGACACATTACTGAGCATCTCATTTCTATCAAAGTCTGACCAGGAACTTGGGGTTTATTATGGTGAGGAACATTGTTTCTCTTTATATAATGAAACGAAAGCAGAATGCAAAGCACAACCAAGAGCAATCCAGATTTCTTCCTAATTCCACCCTGGTAAATAATTTGGTACTGAGACACCCCAGGGCCTGAGACACTGTCTGGGGCCCAGCGGGGCTGGGGGTTGGTGCTGTGCAAGCAGCAAAGACCCCTCTGTCTCCTCTCCTTTCCCCTGTGCCAGGGGTTTGACCCGTCCCAGTTTCAACCCGCATCCCACCAGTACCACCCCAACCCCATGGGCATCACGTACCAGTCGCCTGCCGCCGTGTCCAGCCGAGGGTCTGGCTCTGGGGGGAGATCTCCAGCATCCCCCAGCTCCCTGTGGACCTCTGCTCTTGCCTGCACGGCTGGCTGGGAGCAGCTGCGGGGTCTGGGCTGGGCTGTGGGAGGGAGTGGGGCTGAGTCCTCCACCTGGCTCTGGGTCTGCTCGTAGGACAGCAGGCTTTTCTCCTCGTGGTTGGGGCAGGGTGCAACCAAGCTGCAGGCAAAGAGGGAACAGGGGTGCTGAGCGGGACCTGGATCCCGGCGGGGCCAGGAGGTGCTTGAGAACACACACACACAGGACTCCATTAGCTGTTTTAGAGGCCACTGAGATCACACTGTTGCCCATGCTCGTGGGTCCTTGCAGGGTGGTGTCTGCAGCTGGATGCTGAGCATCCCCCAGCATCACTCTGGCTCCAGCCCTGGGGAGCTCTTGCATTCCCCACCCTGGCCCTTCCTGTCTTTTTTTGCTGCAATAGGTATAGTTGTCCCTGGTGCCCATGTGCTCAGACCCTGCTGCCCTTGTCCCCGAGGGCAGACAAATAACTGTGTGTACAGATGACAGCACCCACCAAAAGGAAAAGGACAGCTCAGGGCACTGGGACCTACCGGGTGTTCCCCTCCTGCAGCATGATGGGTTTGTGGTCCAGGAACTGCTTGGCCTCGGTGTCCACAGGGATGAACGTTATCTGGGGGGACAAGATAGGCAGAGCCCAGGGGGCTGCACTGGGCATGGCAGGGACCCTCGACCCTCTTAGTGGTCACAGGCTGGAGTGTCCCTTCAGCTGGATTTTTGGTCTTTTCGCAGCACTTTTGGATGTCTTGCATAGAATTATTTTTTGGGGGGGGAATGAATAAGGGACCGAATGAATCCAGCATGGCCCTGCTCTCAGAACCTTGCCATGCATGATCCCAAGTCTGAGGGGTCCCAGGGCTTCTGGAGGTGTTTGGTGGCCAGAGACAACACTGAGGGTGCCTCATCCTTGAGCCCTGAGCATGGTGACAAAGCCACATCTCCCCCCCAAACAGGGCTGAGCTCAAATTTGGGGGAGTGGGCGTCAGGTTCGCTCAGGTCCCAGGGGACTCAGCCAGTCCCAGGGCCCCCAGCCAGTCCTGGATCCTAGGATCCCATTCACCTCCCAATATTTTGGGGTGCAGCCAAGGTCCTGACAGGCCCTCCTGCACCACCGAGCTCAGTCCCCCAGCCACTGTCTCCTTGGGAAAAAGCTTTTCCTGCCAGCTCCGTTTCCCGGGGCAGGGACGCGTGGCTGCCCCGCCGTGCCCTCTGCCAAGGAGACTGGCAGGGGAGGGCTGTGCTGGGGACCGGGCCCCTGCAGACCTCGGTGGCCACAACAGCACATTCTTACAAAGTCCTTGGAGCCCACCGAGCCCCCTGAGGGTGCAGGGAAGGGGCTGGTTTGACGGGGTTGGGGTTGCACGGGAAGGATGAACATGAGCTGATTTCCTTGCGCTCACTCCCCGCTGCCTGTGCCACCGCAAAGCCCCAGGCTCAGGGAGGTGCAGGGATACAGGGACACAAGGGAGCTGGGATCACTGGGGACGTGTAGCAGGGCAGGAGCCTCCCAAACCAACACTTCCCTCTCCAGATCACCTCAGCTTTCCCTCAGGATCTGCCACTACACCAGCCCGCAGATGGGGGAACTGAGACACAGCCTAAAGCCACATGTCCACAGCAGCTGAAGCCCCCCAAACCCAGCTGAATCTGCCATCCCCCCCAAGGCACACACCTATGGGACAGACCCTACCTTTGGATAGCACTGGCACATGCTCCAGGTGATGCCCACAGCTACGAGCAGGACACCCAGGGCGCAGAAAGTGATGTAGATGTGGGGTTTTTCCACGCTCATGATGAATATTCCTGTCATCACCAGGAAGAAACCCAGCATGATGAACCCGTAGCGAAAGGTCTTCTCCTCAGCCATGGGCACTGGGTGGGAGAGGCAGGGCAGGAGAGGTGCCGGGAAGCCCGTTTGCTGGCAGCTCCCGCCGGCTGAGCGCACCTCAGAGGAAGGCGAGGAGTGGTTTGTGTCTCCGGAGGCTGCCAAGGATCAGCTGCACGTTGAGCCCGGTCCTGCCCAGGGCTGAGCCAGCCAGTTTTTAAATGGGTTTGTAATGAATGCAAACACTGACCCGACGTTCACACTCCAGTGAAGCTGCCCGGCACGTGTCCGGGTAACCTTCCCTGCAGGCACACGCAGCCAGACCCCATGCCTGGGGATGGGATGGGAAGGAGAGGGAGGTGGGCACAGTGGTAGAGATGGAGACCTGGGACCTGGTCCAGATGGGACTTTCCCAGCCCCAGGGGCTGGAGCTGGACTTGTTCATAAATGGGAGCTGGCAGAGCCCCAGAATAAGGGGAATGCCAGGGCACAGCGTGTTTTCAAAGCCTGGTGGGGTGGGAATAGCCCTTACCTTGCTCCAGCTGGGTGCTGGGGAGCCACTGCTGCACTGCCTCGGTGGGGCAGCAACCAGGCTGAGAAGGGAGGGTAAAGCCAGGGAAGGATGGAGCAAGATCCGTCCACCCAGGAGAATGAGGACATAGTGTCCAAGAGTTTGCTTGAAATGGAGCAGGGGTGTTAAAAGGTGTTCCCCTCCCTCTGCACACTCAACAAACAGTGGAGATGGCTTTAATTAGCTGGTGATTTGTTCCCTCACTTGCCTGCCCATGTGAGAAACCACGTACCTGGCTTATGAACAATTAGCTATTCTATTATAAATAATATGTTATCTTTGGCTGTGGCTCCGCAGCCACTCTGCAGCCCTGCAGACCCACAGCAGGCCTGGAGCAGCCCATTACTTCGGTGGGATGGAGGAACTGACAGAAGCCCCAGATGGAGTTGGCCTTTCCTCTGGGCAAGGCTGCAAACCTGCCTGTGGTGGGCAGGGGGGAGGTCAGCAGCTCAGGATCTCTTTTTATAGGGCACTGCCTGAAATGTCAAGTGCACTTGGATGCCCCGAATGCACACATGAGCCACTGAACATCTCAAAGTCAAATCAAGTGAGAGGTGGGAGTCGGTACAGGGGTCAGGCAGGGTGGAAGGGATAGAGATGTGGCTGGAAGGGACAATGAGAAGGCAGAGGAGCGAATGGGACAGCATGGAGCTGGTTTTCCTTTGGCCAGATTCCTCGTTCTTTGCTGCAGTTTTTATTACACAGCTCTTGCTTTGGGTGGGCAGCCCCTGATCTGACAGAAGCTTCCCAGGGTGGTCAGAGCAGGGAATGCCAAGCTTCTGCAGGCAGCAGTGGTTTTATTAAAAATACAAAGGCTTTCAAACATGCCAGTGGCCCCCAACACTCTGAACACATCACCCACAGGACCCACAATCCCGACAGCCCTGGACTGATGGCTTGGGAAGCCAGAAGGACCCCTCTAGGTCTCCCCTTCCTCTCTCCCCTCCTCTCCCCCCGGTGACGGAAAGGGGCTTGATTTAAAGCCAAGGGACTGTGCAGCCATCTGCAGAGCCCCAGTCCCCCGCCGCCACCAGCTCAGACACCTCGAACACTGATGTTTTCATAGCTGGGGGGAGGTGT